TTTTTAATTTAGAATAAACCCTAAACATTTAGGGTGTCGGGTTAGGGGTTTAGGGTTAAAGGTTTGGGGCCTAAACCGTAAATCCTAAACCCCTAAACCCGACACCCTAAACCTGAACCCCTAAACCCTAAACCTCAATCCCTAAACCCTCGAAGTCTAAAATTCGAAGCCAGGAGGCTCGGAAGCCGTAGTAATACCTCTATGAACTCGAGCTCAACGAGTCGAAGGAACCTAACCTGGACCCTGAAGAACCTACCTTTTAGTGCTCTTTAATGTGATTTTCTTGTATTTTTCATCCTTAACAAGGTCGCTGTTTTAAGTTAAAAATACCCTAAGGACCAAGTTGGGTTAAACAAATCTTCAGGGTTTGGGGTTTTGGGGTTTCAGATAATTATGCAGAAAGATGACCCTGATTAGGCGTTAGTGTTTTGGGTTGGGGATGTTGGGAGTTGCCCCGGTTTAGGGTTTAGGGTTTAGGGTTTAGGGTTTAGGGTTTAGGGACCAAATTGGGTATAGGGTTTTGGGATTTTGGGCTATAAAAGCAGATGAACCGCCTAAAGAGGCTTTAGGGTTTAAGGGCTCTTGGGGCTTGCGTGCCTTTAGTGTTTTGGGTTACGGATGTTGGGGCTTGCCTACGGACCAAATAACCTTTCAAAGTAAGGGCCCCATAGCCCTTATACTATGAAACTCAGTATGTTATCTGCACCTTAAACCTTGTTCTGTTAGGGCTCGTACCGTCCTTAAGGTAAGCAGGTTGTTTGATTGGACTGTAGTGTTTGTAGGCATGTGCTGGGGACTTTGGGGGGATACTTGGGTTTAGGGTTATGATTAGGGTAACACAGATGTCCTAAACCCGACACACGACCAAAATGAGGTGTGTAGTGTGCAGCGGCTTTCGGATTTGGGGTTTCGGGCTTGGGGCCAGTCAATTTTCGGGCCTGAGGATAGGATTTTGGATGCCGGGGTTCTGCGTTCATGGTGCATAGTGGTCCACATTTCTTTGCAGAGGTGGGGGACGAGGGCTTTGAGAATTGGACCCTAAGCCTTGAACCCTAGGCACCAAGCCCGAAGCCGTATGCTCCAACACCAAGGGTTTCAAGATGGTTCACACATTCAGGACCAAATGGCCCTTGAATGTAGATACCCTTCTACCCTCAGACTATGAGTCCCTATATGCAGTATGAACATGAAGCTCTTGGAGGGTTAAGCCCTAAGCCCTAAACCCCTTAACCCCTAAACCTCTAATTAAACCCTAAACCCCTGAACCCTAAACCCCTAAACCCTAAAGCCTAAACCCCAAACCCCTAAACCCCAAAGCCTAAACCCCTAAACCCTAAACCCTATTTAAGGAACGTGCAATATTGGCCCAAGCGTCTTGTCAGAGCCTGGCCTGGCATTTCAAAGGCCCGACTTGTTGGCTGGGCTTTGGAGTACCATACTTTAATACTTTTTTGGGGACCTGTTCCTTAAAGGAACCATTATGAAATACAAGTCTATATTTTTTTCTCCCTGGTTACTTCAAAGCCCAGTTGGGCACTGGGGCCGTCATGAATGAACCTCACAAAGCACGATAACCCTAAGGCTCAAAGTATAAGCGGCGTTTAGAGCCCTAAACCCTAAACCCTAAACCCTAAACCCTAAACCCTAAACCCTAAACCCTAAACCCTAAGCCCTATCGGGTACGGGGGTCAGGATTTTGTTTGGGGGGATTTGGAGGCCTAGGGGCCGGGACACTCCAAACCTTACGAGCTTCTGGTTTACAGTTTAGGGTGCAGGATTTTAGGGTTTTGGGGTTTAGGATTTTAGGGTTTTGGGGGTTTAGGATTTTAGGGTTTTTTGGGTTTAGGGTTTAGGATTTTTACGGTTTAGGGTTTAGGGTTTAGGGTACAGACTCCATGCAAAGGATCACTTACAGCTCGACGATCAGCGCCCTCAACCGCGCCGGTCAGTGGCAGAAGGCTCTGCAGCAGCTCGTCGGTGACAGCCGGTCTTTCTTTGCGGGTTTTTGAGAGCCTGGTTTCGGGTTTAGGGTTTAGGGTTTTAGCGTTTAGGGTTTAGGGTTTGAGGGGGGTAGGAACATATGTGTTCGGTTTTCACAGGTTTGGGTGTCAGGGTTCGGCCTGTTAGGTCTGTGGTTGCGAGATTTAGACCGCAGGGCTCACAGGTAAACTGAGATGTGCCTCGCTTTAGGAGGTTCAGGGTTTAGGGTTTAGGTTTGGGTGCTGCCCCCACTGGATAGTATTTATATTATGTATATTTTAGGCCCTTAATAGTAGCCCTATTATAGACTGTTACTGTATGGGGGCAGTGCCCAAGGTTTAGGGTTTACCAAGCCTGGAGCTAGGATTCAAACCCTAAACCCAACGGTACTGTTGACGGAGGCCGAAAGTCCCAAAGGCATGTTTTGGCGGTGCCACAAGAAATTGTGGGAATTAGTGTATACTGCTGTTGCTGATTTGAATCCTGCATTACCGACCCGTTGGGTGTAGCAGAAGCCTTGAACCGAGGTTGCTGGCGGAGTGCTCCGCTGCGCAATGGAGGGCCGACGTGATCTTGCAGCTTCGCTCGAATGCCTAAGGATCCATGTGCCCAAATCGTATATAATTTGGCCTTCAAGTAGTTCTTATATAAGTACTTTGTGGCCAAAGTGTTTTGTCTTTGCCCTTGGAGTAGTTCTTATACAAATACTTTGTGGCCAAAGTATATTATACTATTTGTGCACATGGACACTTAAACCCAAAAGCCTGTAGAAACCTTATCGAACCCCTATAGTGAACCCTTAAAGGAACCTTTAAAGGAACCCTTAGGGACAGCCCTAAACCCTAAACCCTAAACCCTAAATCCTAAACCCTAAACCCTTAACCCTAAACCCTAAACCTTAAACCCTAAATCCTACACCCTAAACCTGGTACATGGACCCTAAGGGAATGCTTGAGTTCGCAGGGCTTTGGGTTTGGGGGAGTTCTGGTTCGGAGCTGTGTCTCTGTCGTGGGACAGTTTTTTTTGGGGTTTAGGGTTTAGGATTTAGGGTTTAGGGTTTAGGCATTTAGGGTTCAGGGTTTTAGGGTTTAGGATTTTGGGTTTAGGGTTCAGGGCTTAGGGTTCATGGAGCTTTCATGTTTTCTCCGTTTGCTAGATGTCTCGCCTCAAGTCTCTAAAGCCCTAAACCCTGAACCCTAAACCCTAAACCGTACAAGAAACTCGCCTTATGTAAATGGGTAGTTTTTTGAATTAGGGTCCCTTTGGGGGTCCTTTTTTACAAGGGTGCCGTACTATGTTTGGGATCTAAAAAGGGACCCTAATTTGGAGGACTACCCTTTTGGGAGTCCTTTTTTATAAGGGTGCCGTACTACGTTTGGGATCTAAAAGGGACCCTAATTTAGAGGACTACCCAAATTGATACCTGGGCCACAGCCCCTCTAAATCCCCGAGCACCTCAGACTTAGCTCTGAGGAACATGTGGCTCATCACGGCTTCTGGGCTTAGGGTTTAGGGGTTTCGGGTTTAGGGGTTAGGGTTTAGGGTTTAGGCTTCTGGGCTTAGGGTTTTGGGTTTCGGGGTTTAGGGTTTAGTATGGGGGTAATATAGACTCGCGCATAATTCAACAAATTATTTGGGTGTTCCGGACTACATTGATTGTATAACAGACCCCGGACTTGGTTTAGGGTTCAGTGTGTAGAGTATGGGGGTAATATAGACTCGCGCATAATTACTTAAAATTATTTGGGTGTTCCGGACTACATTGATCGTATAACAGACCCCGGACTCTATTCTAAGTATACTGCCCCCTACATTACGTTACGAAACTTGAACCCTAAACCCTATGGTCTAATTATTAGCCCGGGCCCCAGACATTACACTTGGGAAGCCAATGGAAGTCACATGCAGCCTGAGGTACAGCTCTGCAGTGAGCTCCTGCGAAAAAGCCGGTGCCTGGACGCAGGCCTGCGTTTGCCCCTTGAAGATATCGATGATGGCTTATCGGGTACAAGAGTACCCATAGTTGGACCCTGAAGTACTTGTTTAGAAAGCCAGTTTAGGCCCAGAAAAAACTGTATGCATGGACGCTTAGAGTATAATGCAGACGTGAATAGATTATTGTAACAGTGTTCCATCAGAGCGGTAGGATTTTATTGCAAGGCTTGATCGGGTGTTATAGGGTCTGCCCTAAACCCCAAAACCCTAAACCTTCAACCCTAAACCCTTAAAACCCTACATAAACTTTAACACCCTAAAACCCAAAACCCCAAAGCTCTAAAGCCCTAAACCCTAAACCCTAAAACCCTGAAACCCTAAAACGCTAAACCCTGAACCCTAAGACTCTAAAGGCCGTACTATATAATATTTTATCAAAGAGACGATTGTTCTTTTGTAACAGACTCGTTTGCGCGCGGGGCCGTTGAAGGGTTTCGTAAGGGTTGCCGGTTGCCTTTCTGACTTTGCAAGGGCTGTCTATGAGATTTTGGACCAGATCTTGCATTATCGGTGATAATGCATCTGCCATAGTGCTTAAGGTACTGCATGATTGCATGTTGTCGTCCATCAGCTGTATGACTCGTGGATTCCGGGTTGAACCCTCTAAGGTTTGAACAGTTTGTTGTTGTTTTTGTGCTAGCTATTGCGACAGTTGCTGGGCGGGGGCTTAACGGACTACCGTGCAATCCATCAAGACCTCCTGTAGAGTCCTGCGAAGTAATAAGTAAACCCCTCAGAATGCAAGGCTCCAAATTCCATAGAATATGGGTGTGAATAACCACCAATATTATTCCTTACCAGGAGGCTCCATATACACTACTATTCTGGAGCAAGGTCCCCGAAAACCATAATAAGGATGGTCGCTTGGGACCTAATTCCATCATGGTAATATATCTATGGGTAGTTGTCAAAGTTATGGCCCCTTTTGGGGTACCCTAAATAATAGGTGCCGTAGTATAATAAGGACCCCAAAAGGGACCATAATTTTGACAACCACCCCTATATATATATATAGAGAGAGAGAGAGAGAGAGCAGGAGAGAGAGAGAGAGAGAGCCTCTGGGTCAGGGTAATTATACCCCCAAAGCCTGCTGCAATCATAAAGGCTGCTCTCTTAGTTGAGAGCTGTTAATGAGTAGAAAGCAGCACGGTACTGTAACTCCATTCTAGTTAAGGCACCAAGATCATTCAGAAGCCAGGACACGCGAAAATAAGCCCCAAAATCAAGGAATTGGTAAATGTCTTCTAAGCGAGATTTCTAGTATCAAGAAGCCTTGTTTGGTAAACTCTTTCTAGTAAGAAGCCTGGTGCTGTCATGTTTGGGATTGTTCAGGTTGGGCCTTCACACTCCACGTCAAGCTCCTCCAACCCATTCATAAACCGGAATCATAAACTGAGCACCCAATACCCCTTAATTAACGAAACGAATATACCTTAAATCATAATATTATGGCCCCCCAAGATTTAAGGCATATTCCTTCATCAAGGGGTATTGGGTTCTCTGGAAGATTTGTTTGTGTTGCAGTTTACAGACTTTGTCAGCTGGCTATTTGGGTATTTAGGATTTGCTCATTTTAAGGTCCTTATTTGAGCCCGGTAAACCATAGTTTTGATGATATAAATCCTGCATTGCCTCAAGGACCCTAAACTCTGGGAATTATGGTATATTCCCTAGTATGGGTAATGCAGGATTTATATTCCTTAGTATGGGTAATGCAGGATTTATGTTCCTTAGTATGGGTAATGCAGGATTTATATTCCTTAGTATGGGTAATGCAGGATTTATATTCCTTAGTATGGGTAATGCAGGATTTATATCATCAACCGTAGTGTAGGGCCTGGTCAGTTTGTACTACTTAGTCTTATAGTATAGAAGCCGCCCCCCCTTCCCAATCCTGTCTATGATTCGTAACACTGTATCACTTAGTCTTATGGTTTGCAACCAGCCCCAACTCCTGTCTCCATGCTGAGACTTCAAGAGATCGACTAGACGCGAGCGACAGGCACTTCGGCTTCTCCGCGATGCTGGGGAACACGGTCTGAGCACCGATGTGGTTCTCTACAGCGCTGTGGCAGCTCTGCTTCAAGTAAAGCTCTGCAGCCCAAAAAGGGGTTTAGGGTTTAGGGTTTAGGGTTTAAACCCTAAACCCTAAACCGGTAAAGCTCTGCAGTCCCAAAAAGGGCTGAAGGATACATTTTGTAGGGTCGTTTGCTCATAAGGGTTGGGGCTCAATGGGTCTACCAGGGCTTACAGTTAAAGCTTCCTATAGAAGCACCTACATGGCATGAAGCTCTTGGCGTAAGTTCTATACGGCCAAAGATTGCGGGGTCGCCGGGCTTAGGTTTCCAGATTTAAGTAAGCCCCAAACCCTAAACCCTTAACCCTAAATACCGAAAACCTTAAACCCTAAACCCTAAAACCCTAAAGCTCTAAACCCAAAACCTTAAACCCTAAACCCTAAATTTAAGGTCTTAGGTTTGAAGGTCTGGGGATGTAAGTCCAAGTTTTGGGGTTTAGGGCTTCGGTCTTGGGGTCTACCTTAAGAACCCAAAACCTACTTTTTTGTAGGGTCCCTATAAATCCCATATTAGGGTTTATAGTAAGAACCTACAAAAAAGTGGGTTTTGGGTTCTGAAGGTAGGGCATTGGCATTGATTCCACCATTCAAGACTCCTTCACCGATTGGGGGAGGTGTTAATTCCCTTACCCTCAAAGCGCTCATATCTTAAGGCTGGTGGGGCCAAAGACCCTATGATATAAGGCTTTTGGGCTATTTCGATGCTAAACAATTTACGTTTCCCGAAGTTGTTTGTCTTATAGACGGGTTCTTACTTTAGGTCCCTCCCTGGCACCCTTTTACCCTATCATTCTTGGGGGTCTTAACGACACCCATGTTTCTTAAGGGGAGCCTGGGGTGGAACCTGGGTCAACACTTGAGGGTTTAGGGGTTACAGGGTTTAGGGGCTTAGGGGTTATAGGGTTTATGGTTTAGGGGTTTGGGTTCAGGGCTTTAGGATGTAGGCGTAAAGTTTTTGAGACGGCACTCAGTATTGACATCCCCTTTCTCGCCTTTATCTAAGAAGGGCGGGGGCACAAAGTTGCAAACTTGCACCGCGGGGAGGGGGGGGCGGCGGCGGTTGTCGCTCTTCTTCGTCCTTTCAAACCCCAAGCAAACCGCGAAACCGTAACTCCCTTCGATCCTTTATAACCCGGAAGCATTAATACTGCCTCCACACCATAAACCCTGGACCCTAAGCCGCGAAACGCCTAAACTCCGCACCCCTAAACCCTTAACCCTATCCCCCGTAATTAGGGCCCTAAACCCTGAACCTTATCCTAAGGGTCCACGTACCCAAATCGTATACACTTTGTCCGCAGTGTACCTATACAGGGGACCACTTTAAGGCCAAAGTATGTACTATTGGGCACATTGACCCTTAGTCATACCCAGAGGCTCCAAATAGACTACCATTATAGAATTAAGTCCCTAAAACCATAAAAGGTATGGTCTTTTGGGACCTGATTCCATAATTGTAGTGTATATGGAGCCTCTGGGATAGATCCCTTAAAGGATCACTTAAAGGAACCCTAAACCCTAAACCTTATAGATCCCTTAAAGGATCCCTTGAATGAGCCCTAAACCTTATAGATCCCTTAAAGGATCCCTTAAATGAGCCCTAAACCCTATAGATCCCTTAAGCGATCCCGTAAAGGAACCCTAAACCTTATAAGAGCCCTTAAATGAACCCTAAAGCTCATCGATCCCTTAAAGGATCCCTTAGGGAACTCTAAGCTGCTCATGTAAGACATCCCGAAGCTGCCATTACCAGGTCAGTGCGACCCAAAAGGCTGGCGAATGGCGCCAGGCCAGCCCCGGGCGTTTGCCCAAAGAGTCCTACTGCTGATGCTTTGGGGTTTAGGGTTTGGGGTTTAGGGTTTGGGATTTAGGGTTTAGGGTTTAGGGCATCGGGTTCTGGGTTTAGGGTTAAGGGTTTAGGGTTTAGGGCTTTAGGGGTTTAGGGTTTAGGGTTGATGATATTAAAATCTTGCATTAGCTTATAAGGACCCTAAGCTATAGGAATTATGCTATATTCCCTACCATGGGTAAGATGTATATCAGCAACCGTGCGTAGTGTCATGAGGGACACTTCCCTGAATCATAGTAGTATTTCCTGATATAGAAGCCCTACATTCTACCACATAGGTACCTAGGACCCTTTGGGCTCGGAGAATGTAAAGGTTCTTAGGGTTCCTTTAAAAGCCGAAGAAGGTTTAGGGCTTAGGAGAACCTGGCAGGTTTCTGGGTTCCTTTAAAGAGGAAACCTAAAGGTTTTTGGGGTTCCTTTCGTGTGGAAACCTAAGGGTTCTTAGGGTTCCTTAAAGGGGAAACCTAAGGGTTCTTGAGGGGGAAACCCAGGGACTGTGGGTTTGGGGTCGAGGATTTTTGGTCAGCTTCTAGCTGTGATTTATTTAAGGTTTAGGATTACAGGGTGTAGGGTTTAGGGTTTAGGGGAACTGGGTAGTTGGACTAGGGCCTAGCGTTTTGATGAGGCCTGAGTACTGGGAATATCATCTAATTCCTTGGGAGGGAGGGGAGGGGGCATGTTATACTAAGATAGACGAGGGGCCCCCGCTTCGGGAATGCTATGATTGCTTAATTAGGCCAAATAGTTTTTAGAAGCTACTTGCAGATTCCCGGTTCTTCCGCACTTAGAATTACCTAGTTTTGGCGGTTTCGGCTCTGTTTGGGGCTTGTTTGTGGCAGTGCTGAATGCATCTAGAGGCTCCATCTATTCTACTGTTATGGAACCAGGTCCCCCCAAAACCATGATAAGGATGGTCGTGTGGTGCCTAATTCCATAAACCCTAAATCTGGGACATTTTCAGGTGGGTAGTTACCGTTATAGGAGCCGCATAGAAGGTCTATATACCTTATTATGGAAGCCTTATAGAAGCCCTATATACCCTAAACTCCCCACCTGTAGTTTCCTCTAACCAAGCCCTAAACCCTAAACCTTAAACCCTAAATCCCTTTAAGGAACCCTATAGACCACCTTAAGGAACCCTACAGACCCCTTTAAGGTTCCAAGCTGGCAGTATACATGGAGCTTCGGTGTCAGAGTTAACCCTATAACCCTAAACCAGCTGTCGGGTCGGTTTCGGGTTTGGGGTTTAGGGTTTATAAGGCTTACGGTTTAGGGTTTGGGGTTTAAGGTCTAGGGTTTGGGGTTTGGGTTTAGGGTTTAGGGTTTCGGGTTTGGGGTGTAGGGTTTAGGGGTTGACTGTTTGGGGTTTGGGGTTTAGGGTGATTGTGAGCCCCTGGCTGGTCCTTGATGGCTTCTCCACCTGTAGCCGAAAAGACCTGCCCTTTCTTCAGGGCTCTTTTCTCTGGATTCCATAGATAGTTCCTTAAAAGGTATAGGTTTTTTGGGCCGCGGGTAAGGCTTAAGTTAGTTTTGAAGACGGTTTGAAGTTTAGGGTGTGTAGCCGACATCCGACAAGACCTTAGGCCCGACACCGTTCGCAGGCCATGTGGTTCCTGGGAGAGCTCGGGCACAAGGTGGTCCAAGCTAACGTGATCCTCGACTGCATGCCTCAATTTTCGGGAGCCCTATGTAAAGTAAAGTAAGGGGGGTTCAACCCTAAACCCTAGACCCCTGAACCCTAAACCCTACCTGGACCTCAAAGAACCGACCTTTTTAGGGCTCTTTATTATGGTTTTTTCGTATAAGTCCTTAAAAAATGTAGGTTCTTTGGGGTTAAGGTAAACCATAGCCCAATAATCCCGCAAACCCTAAGCCCTAAACCCCTAAACCGTGGTCTGCTTAGTGCCCCCCAAGGTTCCCTGAGATTCCCTGGTACCCTCCCCCCTTCTTTAGGGTTCAGGGTTTAGGGTTTAGGGTTTAGGGTTTAGGGTCCCTGAACTAATCCCACACTCAAAGAGCTTTAGTCTACCCATAGGCCCCATAGTAGTTCCTTTTTGGGATTATATATCTTATAGGATTCTAAATATGAACCCCAAAAAGGAACTACTATGGGGACTATGGGTAGAGGGTTCCACCATCGGTTTCTTTACAGGGTCTGCAAGCACGCTAAGAGGGGCTTGTAGGGGCTTTTAGGTTGAGGTTTATAATATTATAGGCATTATAGTGCTTTTACAAGTGGTTTGCAACGGTGTGTATGGCGTGACTGCTTAAAATAGGGTTTCGCAGTATTACAGGGCTTGCTTCGGGTGTAGAGTGGGGCAGATTCAGAAAGTTGAGGGGGCTTTCATTAAAACAAACACAAGGGCGCCGTAGGGTTCAAGCAAAAGGCGGAATGCTGCAATAGAAGTGAGCATCTCGTAAGAAGGTAGGGTTTAGGGTTTAGGGATCGTGCTACTTAGGTTTACATTGGGGCCTCTGATGGTCAAAGCAGGTCAACACACCACCGAAATCTGAATTCATCGACCGTAAGATCAGCACCAAAATCAAACCCTACGGGTCCAAAGGACACAAGAATAAGGTACTTCAGTTGCGGATAGTAGTTATCTAGGTTACTACTTGGGAATGTATATGATTGTTAGGTACATGGGCCCGTAGGGAAAGGACTTAATTATATGTCCGGTACCACGATGAGCGCGATGAGACCTCAGATGATTTGGGGGCCACTATGAGCACGATGAGACTTCAGATGAGACTTCAGGCAGTCAAGCCATATACCTTGAATTCATAGACCATAAATCCCAACCCCGAACTCTTTTCAATGGAACAGCTCTCTCCAACATGGTTCCTTTTCAGGATTTAGGGTGTAGGGCCGTGCATGGTTCTGGTTTTCAGTTTCTTGGTGTTGGTTGCCTTCCCTGCGGGTCGGGGGTTCAATATGAGGAAAAACAGAAAACACAACCGCTGCGAACCAGTCCAGTGATGGTGTTTAAAGCTAAGGAAGGAGACGTTTCTCTCACGTTAAGATCTGTACTTAACTAATTAGTGTAAGTGCAGTCTGTACTCAGGATCACCATCAGTTCTGCGGTGAGTGCCTGTGAGAAGGGAGGACGATGGCAAGAATCGTGGACTGAAATTGGAGTGCAGCCTGTAGCTACTATGGAAGCCTAAATAGTCACTAAAACAATATTCCTTCTAGTTCCTTCTTCTAGTGATACTATAAAGGCGCTCAAATCCATAGTCTAATTCTGAAGGCCCCTGCATTAATGGCATGAGATTAGCATCCGCTTGTCTCAGTCGAACAGCTCGGTTGTCCAAATCCCTAAGACTCCAAGTATACAAACAGTACCTACTTTGGGGTCGAGAGTCTATAAACTCTGGGTGATTTGGAGTCTTAGGGACATGCACTCTCATGGTTCAAGATCGCTAACTTTTCTGAAGCTGCGATACTGGGAGATTCTGGCGAGTACGATGGCCATAATTAGCCGTAATCATGATGAGAAAGACTATGATGGTGATTACACTGGTGATGGTGATGATGGTCACTTTGATGTTGGTTCTGATACCTGCCGGGACGGCTCCGTCGGCACTGATGCTGTTGCTCCTACTGGCTACCAGCTACCACCACAGCATCAGCTACAGGTACGACTATGACGACGACGTGAAGCGAATGGCATAATCACTTAAATGCTCTTGAATGAAAATCTCCAATAAATCGAGACTCCAGTATCCTAGTATCCTGCAACCAAAAGTTACTCATGCAGGATCCCCTATACATATACATATCATATATATATATATATATATATATATATATTTGTACATATCCCAGAGGCTCCATAAAATCCTACCATTATGGAATTGGTCCCCCCCCAACGCCGCATTAAAGATGGCTTTTTGGGGACCAACTTGGAGGAACATGGGGCTGAGTAAGTATAGCTACAAGGTCCTGGATTGGGCTTATAAGTAACTATAAGTATAGTTTCCCTAATCATAGCCTTCGTTTCTAAGTGCCAAGATCATTTGAGTAATAGTCTCTCAAACCTAAACCCTCACAGCGAAGCCCTATAGATCCCTTTAAGGAGCCCTTTATGGAACCTTACCTAATCCTAAACCCTAAGTAGTTCCCTCAAGGTCGTCGTATAGATGGAGCCTCAGGGTCTTCCTCGCTCGTGCAACTGCGGAGTGCAACCGTCGGCCCTTTGTGGGTGTTTCAGAAACCAAGCGAAGTTTGGGGGTTCAGCGTTTAGGGTTTAGGGATGTTTAGGGTTTAGGGTTTAGGGTTTAGGGATGTTTAGGGTTTTATTCGGGCAGAATTGGTCGACCCAGACCAGTGGGAGCCTGAAATCTCTTTCTGACAGGTTCTATCACCACATTATCGGTCACAACTACCCTAAATCCGAAACCCTAAACCCCTAGCAACACCTATCACGACTACAGGTCCGTCCTACTTCATCCGAAGTTCTGCCATTCCAAATCTTCCCCACGCACACAGGTAGTGCGACAGAGCCTGCTTCCTTAATGCCGTCACTCTCCGAAGCGTGAGACTCAGGTAATGTTTGATCTTGCTGTTCTTTATAAGGTCTGCAAATCATGCAAATCCATGAAAAACCTGGTTTTCTGAATGTAAGCCAAGTCGACATAACACCCGATGAACCCCGAAAGAACGCTGAATAAACCCTGTGAGTTGTGCCTACATTCGTCCATGTAGAAGAGCTCACAGAATTACCACATGGGAGTTTCCGAAAATAGGGGACCCTAATATAGTACCCTAAATAATAGGATCCTTATTACAAGGACCCCAAAATAAGAACCCTAAACCCTAAACCCTAAACCCCTAAACCCAAAACCCTTTCGGAAACCCCCACATCACTGCAGTCGAGGAAGCTCTTCATCTGTTGCATGGTATGGCGTGCCTTGGGCTTTAGGAGTACCCAGAGACTCCAACATCCCAAAATTAAGGAATATACCTTAAATCATATTCGGGATCCTACTATCATTTAAGGTATATGCCTCAATTGAGGGATATTGGAGCTTCAGGAGTAGGTTCTTTGTTTTGGGCTTGGGGTTCAGGGTCTATAGGGTCTAGGGGTTTATGGTCTGGGGAATGGGGTTCAAGATTCAGGGTCTTTTGGGGTTGGGGTTTACGGTCCGAGGTTTGGGGTCTAGATTCTGTTTGAAGGTTCATCTGGGTAGCGTCTAAATGAGGGTCCCTTTTGGGGTTCCCAAAATACCACGGCACCATTATAACAAGGACCCGAATTTAGAGAGAGCTACAGCTTACATTGGGTTGAAGATTTAGGGTGCTTTACTTGTGACGATGCTGTACCGAAACGGATTTCGGCCCCGAAAAACTAAGACCAAAGCCCTGAACCCAAAACGCCTAGGTACTTCTGACCCTGAACCCCTTTGCCGATTAGATTTGATGAAGACCCTTGAAACAGAAGCCTTGTAATCTTCCTCCGTAATGGATTCACGGATAAGTAACGAGGGTTTAGGGTTTAGGATTTAGGGTTTAGGGTTTAGGGTACTTCAATGTAGCCCAAAACAGCACACTTAGGGGGCTGAGTCAGTAATCTTTAGCCTTTTGGGCTCATAAGACCCTATTACAGTTCAAAAGGTCAACCTTCTTGGCGAAAGAAGTACTCAGCCCCAAAGCTTCCCCGCTGTTTGCTGGATAGCCGTTTTTAGGGTTTAGGCTTAGGGGTATTTCAATGTATGGGTTTAGGGTTTAGAGGTTTAGGTAGCATAGAAACCCTATTCGATGTATTAAGGTCCCAACCGTACCAACATTTACCCACTTTAGGAACAGCGAGCTGCAGCCCAACATCGTCACCTACAACGCCGCCATCAGTGCATGCGCGGCTTGACGGCCCTATCGTCGGTAGAAATATTTTGCATTTTGGGATACAGGGCTCTTTTAGGGCTCGCGTCGAGCACGAGGCTGTCGAGGCTCTGGGTGTGTACGTGCATATTCATGTGTGTATATACATATATATATATATATATGTATATATATATATATATGCATGTGTACACACCCATGTAATTATACACATATGCGTTTAACCATGTATAGAAAGTTGGTTCCAACGAGACCAGGGCCGTAAGGGGTTAGTCTCTTGCTCGTTGATTCCCTGCTTCATGCTCGGTGTTCGAGGATTCTTATAGAGTTTCATACCCTACCCCTTTTCTAGGGTACCTAGTTTTATGGTTAGGATCTGTTATATCGAAAAGTAAGTAGGTGACCCAAAAAAGGGATAGGGTAGGAGCCTATAGATACTAAGAAATTGGACGGACGGAATGACCCTCAAATAAATCCCCTATACTTCCTGAGTCGCACCCTCTTTGCCCTTTCTATTTTAGGGACCCCTTCTTAGAACCGACTAGTAGGAACGCCACAGACCCTAAAGCCCCTCAACCCTAAAGCCCTTTTGATTCTAGGTTCCAAAAAAAAGAAGCGAATAACAGGAAAGCCCTAAACCCTAAACCCTAAGGCACCCTAAACCCTAAACCCTAAAGCACTTTCTATTTTAGGGTCCCCTGAAAATGAACCGAAGAGTAGGACCAAGGGTACCCTTGTTATAAAAGGGGCTACTCAGGAACCTGGCCATGGTTTATACGAACCTGAAGCCGTTTTAGGCTCTTAGGGCTCTTAGGGCTTAGGGTTTAGTTTTTCAGGGTTTAGGGTTTAGGGTTTAGGCGGATGGAGAAAGTTTTGCCCACTTGTAAGCAACATGCCAATTACGGTTACGCCGTGCACGTTGGTGCGTATGCTCTGCTGGTTTGCCATCGGAGCAAGTGTGCAGTCGACCTACAACCACCTTTCTCGCATCCGCGTGCGACGAAAAACAGTGGGCAGAGCATTGGCCATTCTGCGGCAACACTTGGCCAAGTGGCTCGAGCTGCATGCCACGGGCTTGATTGGAAATGGTTTAGGGTTCAGGGTTTAGGATTTAGGGTTCAGGGTGCAGGGTTCAGGGTTTAGGGTTCACGGTTTAGGGTTCAGGTTTTAGGGTTTAGGGTTTAGGGTACTGAGCCCTGCAGGAGCTTTAGGTTCAAAGACAGAGGGATTCAGAGTAGCAGGGCCTGGGGCGCCTACTTTGAAGGGCCCTCTGGACCCTTAGTCTTGGGATTCGGCGCTCCTAAACCCCAAACCTTTAAACCCCTAACACCCTAAACCCTAAAACCCTGAAGCCCTAAACCCCAAAACCCCAAAACCCTAAACCCTAAACCCTAAACCCTAAAACCCTAAACCCAAACTCAGAGGGTTCGGGGGTGCTCGCATGCGACGCGAGGAGAAGGCTGCCCAGTGGCAGCTGGCTCTGGCACTTCTTCAGGCGCGCGTTGAGGGTTTTAGGGTTTTAGGGGTTTTGGGGCTTTAGGGTTTAGGGCTTTAGGGCTTTGGGGTTTTGAGGTTTAGGGTTTAGGGCTTTAGGGTTTTAGGGTTTTAGGGTTTTAGGGTTTAGGGTTTAGGTTTAGGGAGCTCGGGCCCGGTTTGGAGATTCGAAGCAGTGAACGGAAGGATTTCTGTAAGGGTGCCACTAAGTGTTCCCTGAAGTCTTCCTTTCGGGGTCTAGGTTCCTAAGTCTTATAGGGTTTAGGGTTTAGGGTTCAGGGCTTAGCCGAATAGTGTGAACACAGTTCATCAAATCATGCAGTTGCTTCGAGAGAATGGCTTGGTGACCTCAATGCGGTTGCTACCATCCGCCTTGGGGGTACACCCCAAAAATCGTGACGGCATGGGCCTCAACAGTGCTGATGTTCACGCCTTGCTGTCGAACCTGCCGGAGGTAGGTTTTGTGGCAGAGCGGACACACTGTGTGGCCATCGAGCCAGCCAATGATCAAGAGCTGGCCTGGAACCAGCAACTCGTTGAGAGTTGCCAGGGGCGGCTGGGCACGATGCAGCCCCAGACATTGAAAGCATTAAGCTTATGTGGATCCCATACAAATTTTGTTCTTCGGATCATCGCCGACGCTGCCCTGCATGAGGGACCGGAGAGCTCAAAGGTCACTGTGGGAGGCGTGCGGGGGATTGTGTGCACAGCTACCTGACAGTGATAGCGACCCTTTGCGCCTGTTAGGGTTTAGGGTTTAGGTTTGAGGATTTAGCCACTGTGTACCACTTGTTAAACCTGCTGGCTTTGCTCTAGCTGGGCAGGGGGGTCCGCCGAGTACCTGGTCGAGAGCATGTTGATGGGCTTCCTCCCGAATTCAAGAGCGACAAGCAACGTTTGGATTCGAAGGATCTTTTTGGTAAGAACTTACTACGGCGTATGGCAAACCCTAAACCCAAAGCCCTGACCCCAAAACATAAGCCCCCGCATCCCTCAACCCGGAACGCCTAACGCCCAAAACCCTAAACCCCTGAACCCCTAAACTCTAAACCCTGAACCCCTAAACTCTAAACCCTTAACCCTGTACCCTAAACCGTAAACCCCTAAACCCCTGTCCCCTAAACCCTAAACCCTACACTCCTAAACCCTAAACCCCTAAACCCTAAACCCTACACTCCTAAACCCGAAACCCCTAAACCCATAAGCCCCTCAACCCTAAACCCTAAAACCACCCCCAAAAAAAATCCTCAACCCTAAAACCTAAACCCTAAACCTTAAGCCCTAAGGCCCTAANNCCCTAAACCCCAAACCCTAAAACTTCGAGCTCCCAGGGTTCGGATCTCTGCTCGGAGAGTCGTTTGGAGGCGCTGTCAGCGAACCTGCTGAAGCCCACCGGGATCACATGCAACGTGCCTGGGCGTCGCTCTGAGGGTTTAGGGTTTAGGG